GGGGGGGGGAGGGAGGTGGGATTAACAGTAGCAAATATCTGTCTGGGAACGGGGAAACACCTCATATCAACAGGGTGCCTGAACGAAACGTAATTGTATACCTAACCCTTAATTGTACCCCACAACATCATAATAAAAAATAAATTTAAAAAAAAAAAGAGATTTCCTGTTTTGACTATGAATAATTCCACACAGATTTGTATAGGAAACACAGCTCTAGAATGTGTTGGAAGATATATTAAATAGACTTTTTAACCTGAGTAATAGTAAGCTACTAATTAATGGTACACTACCAAGAAATGTTTCAAATAATTGCAGTCCCAAGGGTTTTAATTTTAAAAATGGGATTAAAAGTAGTTATGTAAACTATGATTAAAATCAGATTTAGTTAAATCAGTAATTTAAGATAAAGGAGATTTTGTGATAATGACTAAACATTCCTTTAAAAATGAATGTAATATTTTGTGTTAATTGTTCATTTATTCTTAAAATGTTAACAAGAAGCATAACAGAGGGAAAATACAGTCTCATTATTACCATTCCTCTGGAAATTTTAGTTAAATTTGAAACCATCTTGGAGGCAGGAAGGGCTCTCAGATCTTTTGTAGGATTCTCCCTTAGCCAATAACAGAGCCTTTGGGATGTTTCTCAGAATCCTTATAAGATTAATTCACCAGGCTAGATTCAAATCAATAGTGTGGCTCAGAGGGAGGATTGTGAGCTGCTGGACCAAGAATCATGAATCAGATCAGTTGAGAAATCAATTAATAGGAAATCAACAGCCATCTCCTTACATGGTATGGGAAAATTTCTAGCGATGGAGATGGAGATCACAGGTGATAGAATGAGGCAGATGGTGGGAACTTGTTTGGGGACAGAGATTTCTCTTTAGCTCTTGTTGATTTTTGTATCCTCAGTCAACTCCTCTTTCCAGACAGACCCAGTGATACAATCAAAGATTCCAGTGCCTTCATCTATGGCTTCTGCTTTTTTTTTTTAACTGGAAGAAAACATAAAGACAAGGAACTTTTCATTCTTATGTGCCCTCCCTTCTTGCTTCTTGGTTTCTATGTCCTTCTGCCCCCTTGATACACGTCATCTATATCCTGAAGTTAAACACACCACTACCTCCCTTGGTTACTGTTGTCTCCATAAGAGTGAAAGAAAATATCATTATCTTATATATGGTATGCTCTAGGACTGGTATAAATGAAGTTAAGTGCTCTCTTTTCATTCCTTTTTTTTCTATCTGGAAAGATTCCTAAGCATTTTGGAAGCAGCTTCTTAGTATTTAAGAGTAAAAGCCTTAGATTCATATCTTGGCCCTATCACAGTAAAATGGAGACAACAGTACCAATACAAAATTGTTTTGAGGATCAAATGAGGTAATTTTATACAACCTTTACCATAATATCTGACAAATAGTAAGAACTCTATAAATGATAATTCTCATACTACTGAACAAAAGACAGAAATTTGAGGCACAAATGGTGAAGAGGCAATTTCAAACAATTATAAACCTGACAGTTCCAAGAATTCAGAGGATTCTGGAAGGAGATTTTGCTATTCAGGTGTCATGTCTAGGGATTTGAGGGAAGGAGTAAAAAAGATAATATGGAGTTGAGTTGAATTTGTTGTTGTTATGTCATAGTGAATCAGGAGGTTTTCTAGTTGGAATCTTAATAACACAGTGCTTAGTATTTTGGTGAAATATGTAAAAAGGTAAATTATGCATAGCCTAAGCAGTTAATACAATGGATCCAGGAAAATGCAAAATATATCTGCCTTCTATGTCATTTTAGATTTATGCAGTGGTTCCACAGAGTTCTTTGTGTAGTCATTTGTGAACCAGAGCTGATAATTTTGATACATATCAAAAAATGAGAAGGTCACATAAGGCCAAGAATAATCATAAATATGTCCTTTGTAATTGTTTTTATTGGAAGAGCAGAACTGTTTGGCAGGTAATGGAATGAACCCTGAAGCTTTAGCATGTCTAGCAAACCCAAGTAAATGTCAGATATAAGGCTGAGGTTTACAAATCTTTCCACTTTCCTTAGTCAGTTAGAGCTGAACTTAATTGTCCAGAGATCTTCAGGAAGATAAATTAAGCATGAAGCAAGCATAGATTGAGGAAAGAACATCCTTGCTGACAAATTCTGTTATTCCCTCTCCAGACAATTGAGGATAAAAAAGAAAAAACTGTATCTTGATTATAACCTTTAATCTGTTAATATTTTAAACATTCGATTACTCTCTAAATCAGGTATTTAAAATATCTGTTCTTCTATTTGTTGCCTTTTCCTCAAGCTTATTTCACACACAGTATGGAGGAGAGTAAAACAGGAAAATGGGAAAAATTGTGAGATGAAAAAGATTCTTTCCAGGGCAGGTGGTTCACCACAGAAGAAAGACAAAATAACAACAGCCAAGGCTGTATTATTTTGAAGATGAGTGCAGAGGCAGAACCTAGGTAAAACAAGAAAATAAAATACATAAAAACATAATGAATTATAATGTAGTGGTCCATACCTTTCAGCAAGTGTTGAAAATTCAAAATCATTATCATATGTGAAGATTCCAGAATGAAATTTTACATATCAGAACAGCAAGAATTTCCACGCCCTGTGCCCATTCATCAGCTTTTACTAACTCTCAGGAACATAGCCTGTGCAATATTTTTTTCAGGGTTATTTTTACTTCCTTATGCCTCAAGGTGTAAATCAAAGGATTCAGCATCGGTCCCACCAGATTCATCAGAATCTGAACCACAGTTCCCAGCATGGGATTGGGTGTGGGCTGCAGGTAGACAGTGATGATGGGTCCAGAGGCACACAGGATGGCAATGAGGTGGGTGCTGCAGGTGGAAAAGGCACGATGACGGCCCTCAGTAGTATGAATACTCAAGATGGAGACTGTGATTCGAGTGTAGGATACAAGGATTAGGAGAAAACAGACAACAGATACTAGACCAACGTTGATGAAGCTCACCCTCTGGGCTAAGGATGTGTCAGCACAAGCCAAGGGCAAGAGTGCTGGGATATCACAGAAGAAGTGATACACTTCATTGGGACCACAATATGGCAAAGTGAAGGTGAGGGAAGTCAAGATACTGGAATGGATGCAGCCTAACAGCCATATGCCAGCAGCTAGAACAACACAGATTCTAGGGCTCATGATTACTGGGTACCGCAGAGGGTAACAGATGGCAGTGAAGCGGTCATAGGCCATCACAGTATACAAGAAGCACTCAATACTCCCAAGGAAATGGAAGAAGAAGAGCTGGGAGACACAGTCTTTGTAAGAGATGAGTCGACTCAGCCCCATAAGATAGAGCAGCATTTTGGGACAAGTCACAGAGGAGAAACTCATGTCAAACACAGACAATTTCCCCGGGAAGAAATACATGGGTGTGTGAAGGGGAGTGGAAGAAATAACAGTCACAAGGATAGACAAATTTCCCAGCAGAGTGCAGGCATAGAAAGGCAAAAATAAGAAAAAAAGTATCATCTCCAGTCCCTCTGTGTGTGGGATTCCCAACAAGACAAACTCAGTCACCATGGTACAGTTCTTCGCCTCCATGAGAGTCAGTCCTGGAGGAAGAATAGGAGGCAGAGGATGTGGAAGAAAGTCCTGGCTTGCTGTCAATCAAGTGAACATACTGGGGAAATAAAATTTCTAATTTAAATGTTTTGTTTCTAAGTAATGGAAAGACTGCTTGTGATCCAAATTACAGGACATTATAATTGGAAATTAACTGCCATAGCCAACTTAATAGTTTCTGTAGCAAATATTTCTGTTGTAGTTATTCCAAATACAGATGCACCTTATTAAAACAATATTTTTAAAATGTTGGAGTGGCCAGGCACAGTGTCTTATGCCTGTAATTATAGCACTTTGGGATGCTGAGACGAGGATTGCTTGAGCCCAGGAGTTCATGACCAGCCCAAGCAAGACTTTGTCTCTACAAAAAAATTGTTTTAAAATAGCCAGGCTTGGTGGCATCTGCCTGTAGTCCCAGCTACTCAGGAGACTGAGGCAGAAGTATCACCCAAGTCCAAGAGTTGAAGGATGTGGTGAGCTGTGATCATAGTCAAGCCCTGGGCAGCAGAGTGAGACTCTGACTCAAAAATAAATAAATTAACTAAATTTTTAAAAAATAAAGCAAATACTTTTTAAGGGAAGGACTTGACCCAGCCAAACATATGCTCCTCCTCCCATGGTGGAAGACTATCAAGTCTTAGAATCATTCAAGAGCTTTTCTATAGCTCTGGATATATGAACTACAACTTGAGAATCAAATTTATGTGTCACCACTAATGACAGCATTATATTTTGTTTCTTTTTTAGTTGAATTATAAAGGTTGAATAAGTACCTGCTTTGCAGTTCAAACCATTTATACAACATGATCTCAGTTCACTGAAGTAGATCTATAGAAAAGAAAACATCAGAGGAATAACAAGGCTCAACTACTCTCCTAAATTAAGGTAGCAAGTACAGGGCAAAACCAGATACCTAAATCCCTTTTTTGTTATTTCTAAGATATTGATCTTTTCACTGTACTGAATCTGTGATGGATCATAGCATTCCTGACCTTGTTAAACTTTGCCCCATTGTTATTCATATTTTTTCTTTTGACATCTCTAGGCTCTGAAAACATTCCTGTTCCTCCTTAGCAAGCAATGGAAAACCAGCATGTCTCCCTGGCATGTACACACACACACACACACACACACACACACACACACACACACACACACACAATATTGTATCTAAGAGAGTACATTTTTTTTTTCATTAATTAGTATTTTTTATTATGGTTTTGTGGGGTACAGTTAAGGGTTAGGTGTACAATGACATTTCATTCAGGCACCCTGTAGATAAGAAGTGTTTTCCCATCCCCTGACAGATATTTGCTACTGTTAATCCCATCCCCTTCCCCCCCATAGTTTCCCAGTACCATCCGTCATTTTCTCATAGTATTGCATTGGATGTTCAAGGTCCATTATATGAGTGAGAACATGTGATATTCGGATTTTTGTTTTTGTGAGAGGTCACTCAGTATTATAGACTCTAGTTCCATCCAGGTTGCAGCGAAATTCATGATTTTGTTCTTTTTTATGGCTGCGTAGTATTCCATCGTGTATATGTACCACATTTTTTAATCCAGTCCTCTTTTGATGGGCAGCATGGTTGTTTCCAGGTTCTTGCTATTGTGAACAATGCTGCGATAAACATACGTGTGCAGGTATCTTTTTTATAGAGTGATTTGTGTTCTTCAGGGTATATTCCCAGTAGGGGGATTGCAGGATCATATGGAAGTCAATTTTTAGAGCTTTTAGGAATCGCCACACTGCTTTCCACAGAGGTTGCACTAGTTTACACTCCCACCAACAGTGTAGAAGTGTTCCCTTTTCACCACACCCTCTCCAGCAGCTGTTATTTTTTGAGTTGTTGATAATTGCCATTCTGACTGGACTTAGGTGGTATCTCAGTGTGGTTTGATTTGCATCTCCCTGATGATTAGTGAGGTTGAGCATTTCTTCATGTGTTTGTTCGCTGCTCGAATGTCTTCTTTTGTGAAGTGTCTGTTCATATCTTTTGCCCATTTTATAATGGGGTTGTTTGTTTTCTTCTTTTCAGTACGTTTCAGTTCCTTGTAGATCCAGGATGTTAAGCCTTTGTCAGACCTAGAGTTGGCAAATACTTTTTCCCAGTCTGTAGGCTGTCTCCCTGCTCTCTTGATGGTTTCTTTGGCTTTGCAGAAGCTTGTCAGTTTAATAAGGTCTCATTTGTTTATCTTCTCTCTTAAGTCCTGTGGGTTTCAGGTTTTGTACAGGAATTGGATGCCAGTTCTGATTTCCAGAGAGTATTTCCTTCCTTTTCTAAGGTTCTTATGGTTTGAGGTTTTACATTTAGGTCTCTGATCCATTTGGAGTTAACCTTTGTGCATGGGGATAGATAGGGGTCCTGTTTCAATCTTCTGCATGTGGTCAGCAATTTTCCCAGCACCATTTACTGAATAGGTTCTCCTCTCCCCATTGGTAGGTGGTGGGGGCTTTGTCGAAGATGAGTTGGTTGAGGCTTGAGGTTTTGCTTCTGGAATCTCAATTCTGTTCCATTGATCTATATCCTGTTCCTGTACCAATACCAAGCTGTTTTGATGATTGTAGCTTTATAGTAAAGTTTGAAATCTGGTATTGTGATACCACCTGCTTTGTTTTTTTTGCTGAGGATTGTTCTGGCTATTCTTGGATGTTTGTGTTTCCATATGAATTCCTGTGTTGTTTTTTTTAGGTCTGAGAAGAATGTTGTTGGTAATTTAATGGGTATTGCATTGAATTTGTAGATTGCCTTAGGTAAGATGGACATCTTCACAATGTTGATTCTTCCGATCCATGAGCATGGGATATTTTTCCACTTGTTCATGTCGGCTTTGATTTCTTTGAGCAGTGTTTTGTAATTTTCATTGTAAAGGTCTTTCACGTCTCTGGTTAGGAAGATGCCAAGGTATTTCATTTTTTTTGTGGCTATTGTGAATGGAACTGTGTTTTTTATTTGGGTTTCTGTTTGTTTATTATTGGTGTAGAGAAATGCGATTGTCTTTTGTACATTTATTTTGTATCCTGAGACTTTGCCAAAGGCTTTTATCAATGTAAGGAGGCCTTTGACAGATTCTCTTGGGTTTTCAAGGTACACCATCATATCATCTGCATAGAGAGATAACTTGACTTCCTCTTTTCCTATTTGAATACCTCTGATTGCCTCCTCTTCTCTGATTGCTTTATCCAGGACTTCCAATACTATGTTGAACAGGAGGGGAGAGAGTGGGCATCCTTGTCTAGTTCCAGTTTTCAGGGGAATTGGTTCCAATTTTTGTCCATTTAGGAGTATGCTGGCTGTGGGTTTCTCGTAGATGGCTTTTACTATTTTGAGGTATGTTCCCCGTATGCCTAGATGTTCAAGGGTTTTTATCAAGAAGGGGTGCTGGATTTTATCAAAAGCTTTTTCTGCATCTAGTGATATGATCATGTGGTTTTTGTTTTGACATCTGTTGATGTATTTAATTACATTTATGGTTTTACGAATATTGAACCAGCCTTGCATGCCAGGAATGAAGCCTACTTGGTCATGATGGATGATTTTTGAGATGTATTGCTGAATCCGGTTTGCTAGGATCTTGTTGAGAATTTTAGCATCTATGTTCATCAAAGATATTGGCCTGTAGTTCTCTTTCTTTGTTGGATCTTTACCTGGCTTGGGTATCAATGTGATGTTGGCTTCGTAAAATGATTTGGGGAGAGTTCCATCTCTGTTCAATCGCCTGGAATACCTTCAGTAGGATTGGTATCAGCTCCTCCTTAAATGTCTTGTAGAATTCTGCTGGAAAGCCAGGGGGCTTTTTTTTGTAGGAAGTTTTCTTATTACGTGGTCGATTTCCTTGATTGTTATTGGTTTATTTAGGGTCTCAATTTCTTCTTGTTCCAACTTAGGTAGGTTGTGTGATGGCAGAAAGTCCTCTATTTCCTTATGGTTTTCAAGTTTGTTCCAT